GCTGTAGCATTGTAGGTTGCTTGGGCCTCATTTGCAGCAGGAACAGGCCCAAGGCTCTGTAGCAAGTCTGGCAGAACATTAGCACATTGAATGCCATGCTCCCTTGAGAGCTCCTGTCCACAGGTCACACACTCTTGGTGGAGACACACATTACCTAGAATCCACATAAAGAGTGGCCTGGCAATCCCTCTTGGGAGCCTGGCAGCCATCATGACAAGGGGATGGCGTTCCTTGCACTCCAATGGGATGGGCAAGATTCTAGAGGTGTTAGTACCATGCTTCTCATTGAATAACTTTAGAGAGAGGAAGTGATACTTATTCACAACAGTTGATCTGATCTGATGTCCCAGGGTCTTCTCATATCCCACAACAGGTATGCAGTTGACTGGCAACAATGGGTGTGGGACAGCATCATACTGCAGGCACTCTGGCTGCAGGAGTTCAGACAAGTCAAAGACTCTAGAGGCCACAACCCATACCCATTGAACCCACCCAAGTGAAGGAAGCTGAGGGTACACTCAGCTGTTCTCATGCACCCCAAGAGAGACTCCTCCATTTCCACTCCCTTTCCAGACATGAACATGCCCAGATACTTTGCAGAATGGACCACCTCTAGCTGTGTTCCTCCCAGGGTGAACCCCCAGTCCCTAGCCTCAGGTCCCAACAAAACCTTGGTCTTGTGTGGTGCCCAGGTGAAGCCTCTCCTCCTACTCCATTCCCAACTAAAATCCAGCAATTCCTGCATATGCTGGTAGCTGCTGATGAGGGATGTGTCATCTGCATACAGCAGAGAGTTGATGCAAATTGCAGGGCCCACCCTGTAGGCAATGTCCAAGAACCTTTCCCTCAGTTCCTTTGGTAGCCTATTGATGCTGACATTGAAGAGTGCAGGTGCATTCACAGTCCCCTGCAGCAACCCCCTCCTCACTACAATGAGACATGACCTAGACCCCATCAACAACAGCTGTGCTGTGTTGAAGTCAAAGAGGGACCTCAGGAGGGGAATTAGCACCTCTCTCATGATGGAGACCTCATCTGCATTCCCAACAGCCACCACAGGC